GCCCCGGCTGCCGGGGCGGCACCTCCTGCAACCCCCCCCCGGCCGCGCCGCCGCCCGACAAAGGCGCGCCGCTGCTGCTGCCCGAAGAGCCCTCGAGCGCCCGCGGCGACGGCGACAGCGGAGACGCCCTCCAGGTGAGTCCCGGCAGAGAAACTTTCCCATTCCTCGTTTGCTCCGCCGCTCCCCTTTGTCCTTCTTCAGGGGTTCTGCTTCCTCTGATTTCCTCCTCCGCGCCGCCTATTTCGCGTTGCCGCGCATTAACATCCAGAGGTAGAGCTGTATATGAGGGTATGGCTGTGAATGCCTCCAAGGTCTCTCTTGCCGATAAAACTTCTCTTCGAAGACGGTACGGCACTCTCAGAAATGTAAATGTGCTTTTAGCGGTGTTTTCTCTGTGAGCGGCTCATTATATGTATTACCTGTTAAAGAGTGTCAATGGCTCACTGCTGTTATCACCCTATTCTTAGAGCATGCCCTTTTGTTTGGACGCTAGCTGTTTTAAGTGGCTGTAATCAGTGTGAGGGTAATGGGACTGCAGGCATTTAGGCAGAGTATGAGTCTATATAAAGATGTGTTTTGTACGGATAGGTGTTCCGTGACATATGCGGAGGACACAAATGATAGCTGACCTAGTTTTGCCGTCCACACTATTACTTTCTTTCGCCTGCTGCCTTACTGTTATAGACTTCATTAGCACTGGGCTTTATTGCCTTTACCTGTTTTTCTTTGCAATTGTTCGCATAGTCCCTTACTCAGGTGAAGCAGATCCTCTTCGGTTCTTTGTTTGTCTTTCAGTTTCTTTTCGAATGTTGGATTTGCTGTGGAATGCAGCAGATGGGAGTGTAGGTTGGTTTTGATGATACTTTTCCTGATGGAATTCCTCTTAACACTTGCTGTGTTAGGGGAATTATCGTATATTTTGAACATATCATGTGTTCCTCCCTAAGCGGGATCTTAAAGAGCATCTTTACGCAGGTAATCTGGAGACCTAGTCTCTGGTAAAAAAAATGCATATCTTTGGCATTAGCTCACTCATATGCTTTAGATGCGTATGACTTGTCATAATGGTGTGGGGAGCAAAAAAATTGCCTCACTTGTGTGTATGCTCGTGAATCATTTAGTGAAATGGTGTGTACTGCGGCTGTTTGGATGCTATTTATTTGATATTTGTGAGGATCACATATAAGTTATAAATGCCTTGATGTGCACTTTTTGCATGGTCCTGTGTGCATAATTTTGTTTGGAATAGCATGCTCCCTGGGTTGCGTTTGGCAGATCAATTGTTCCCATGGTCCCTATTGCTGACTACTTGCTTATGCCACACTATCAATGATGTGAGACTCTCAAAAATGTAACTTTTTTTCCCTTTTTTTTTAATGTTATTTCCTCATGGTTTCATTGTCTTGTTTCTTATGCTGGGCCTTTGAAGACCCTGTGCCACAGTATTATTCCAGTAACCACCTTTCATGTGTGATTCCACTATTCATCTGAATGCAGGGTATTGCAGATAGACATAATTTGTAGATGTTCCACCTTCTTCAGGACATATGTTTGGATAGATTAGACTGTCTTTAAACAGAGATGTGGACAAAGCAACGTTTTGTCTTAGTTGCATATCATTTGTATACTACCCCCCACACCTCCACTTTTTCTTCCTCATTAAAAGCAGCTCTGTATTATCATGTCGTTCTGCTTCCATGGCGGACTTTTCTTCTTCTTCACTCTTCATTGAGACAGCCTGTAGATAAGTCTGCATTAAGTAGTAGAGAGTCATCTAGGATTCATCTTCACGTCCTTACAGTGTGGTAAGTTTATTATTTCTAGCAACGATTTCTGCCTGGTATGATTCCTTCACTTCTGGATGTTTCTTACATCAGTCCCAATTGTTTTCATGACTGGTATGTAAGACCCAATGTGCCTGATAATGACTTTTCCCTTAGAAAGGCATGCCAGGAGGAACAGTTTTCATACTCAACTTTTGTATTTAAAGGTATGAATAACATGACTTTTTATATATGGATTTTCAAAATAGGCCTCTGAATGCTCATGCTTGTGGCATAAGCTTATGGGAATATGGCAGTGCAAGGAGCGATGTTTCCAGATTTGACAGTGCTCTGAAAAAAACAGCAGAGGCATCTTATGCAGGGAAGAAATGTTATGTTTCAGTTTCTCATCTCTCATAGTTTTCTTACGGTGGGACTGAAATTATGCCTGACTCCCTTCCCACAGGAGGCCAACGCTGAGAAAACTAGGAACTCGCATTCATGTCCCCCTCTTTGTCTCAGGCCTCCAACAGGGGTGGTTTGTGCTGCTTTTGTTGCTTTGGTCGTTGTCTTTGAAAATCCTATGTCACTCAAGTCTGCTGTATCCTCTGCATATCTCCATCTTTATAATGTTGATGTGACAGAAAAAAAAAAGTATGGATCATTAAGGTGATTACTAATATTGCCATGTTTAATTCAAGTATTGGGCCAGGAGGGCATAGGCCATGTGTCATACATGCCATGTGTGACAACATCTTATTCTTCACATGATCTTGTCATATGTCATGCTTTTCATACAGCTTTTTCCCACAGCTGATAACTCTGCTTCCCTAACAGTACATCTGTATCACTCCCTATATCCCTAATACTATAGATCGTTAGAGGGTATCTCTTAACATACTTGCCCACTCCAAGAGGTGATCCTAACACAAGACAAGAGAGAGTGGGATCCATGTTATAGTATGTCTAGAAGAAAGGAAGGTGACACATGGATTCCAAAGAATAGGAAGAACATTCATTTGTGGAGTGCTCTGAGGTTGCAAATTCTTGGGGAAGAGTCAGAGCTTGCATTGACGGTAACTGAAGTCACCAGTGTCCTGGACTGCTAGTTCCGTGTATTCATGGTCACAATAATGTAGCGATGGGTTGGTCAAGAGAAATGTCACAGCATTAACTCAATGGCTGCAAAACATAGTGAAAAATGTCATTTGAGGTCAGTGCTTTCAGGAGAACAATGAGAATGAGAAAGGAATGGAGTCCTATGTGTCTATGTCTGTGCTGAGAGGGCTGCCTTTGAGTCATTTTGACAGAATGATCTTCATAAGACCTGTTCCTTAGCCAGGAGTGACAGAAAAGTACATTCTGTGTATCTGAAAGCAGTGTCTGTTTACAAGATTGGCAGTATGATTTGTTGAATCCAGAGGGCTGTGGAGAACGTTGAGGATGACATGTAAAAGAAATGAAAATGCAGGGCTGTGTTTTTTTTGTCTGTGCTGAGAGGTTGCCTTTCAGTCCTTTTGACTGAATAGTCTGCATAAGATGTGTTCCTCAGCCAGGAGTGACAGAAAAGAGCATTCTGTGTATTTACAAGATTTGCCATGTGACTTGTTGAACCCAGAGGTCTTTCTTCGTCCTTCTTGAGAGCTGTTGATTGCTTGCTGGAACACCATTGATAAGAAACAAAAGAGATCACATCCTGGATTGAATAGGTTTTAGTTCTTTTTCCATGTTAGCTCTATATCACTGTCTCAGTGGACCTGTGAGTTTGGGAGTAGTGCAGTTCAGCAAACATTGCCTATGGCTACAACTGTACTCCAAAAATATATATTAATGTGTAACACCTGCTGTTGCAAGATATTCTCATATTGCACCTCTCTAACTCTTTCTGTCTGTTTCCAGAGGCGACCAACACTGAGAAAGTGCAGGAGAATTGCAATACATCTCTCCCATTTTTCTAAAAGCCTCTAAGAGATACACTTTCTCGCACCTTTTTGTGTGGTGGTTTGTAATTCATGGTTCAAAGTCACAGAGATCTTCTGAACAGCAGCCTCTCTGTGGGAATGCTGTCACCCTCTGCATGCATCCAGCTTTACAGTGTTGATGTGACCAGTAGTGTTTGAATGCCATGTGTACTGGGGTACCTCACTGTACTGGTAGCATCTTTCTTTGGGATGACCTCAGGGGCAAAAGTGGAAGGAGTGAGAACTCAATGAATGATCTTGGCAAGAAGGCAATTACTTTCTCCCTTATGTTCAGTACAGATACTTGGATCAGGAGCCCTTAGGCCCTGTGTGCAGGGCCCAAGTGTGAGACATCTTGTTCTTCCTCTCATAACTTTAACCTTACAGTGCATCTTGTAATTTGTCTCATGTTCTTTGGCTTATAGTACAACTTTTCCTGGGGTATATTCCTGTCCTTGAGGCATCTTGAAGCCTGAAGTCGTTTGAACTCTTCCTTGTTGATCCTTATGGAGTGGGCTTCCATGTTGAAGCTGTCAGGCCTGTTTTGCAATGAATGCTTTAGTTCCCAACACAAGACTACAACCACCAAAAGACAGAGGAAAATGAAGCAGAGGACCTAAACCAGAATCTCTCACAGTGTATAAAAATAAGGCCGTAACACCGCATTTGTGAGGAATCACCCTTGTGCTCATTGAAAGCATGTTCTGCTGCCTGCTGCCTATT